CTGATGGCATTGTTCTAATAACACCAAACATTAGCCAAGCAGCACAAATGCTGGCCGACTTCGACTGTGAGTGTGAAAAGGTTGGACTACTGCTGAATATCACAAAGACAATGTTTATGAGAAACGGTCTCGTTCCTGACATTCCATTCGCTCTCATTGGAATGCAACTGTTATGTGTACCTGGGTCAAGAAGTCAACATGACAAATGACCTGGCTCCTGAGTTGCACAGGAGGAAGAGAGCAGCTTGGAATGCCTTCAGAAGCGTCAAGGAAATAGCTAAGAGATCGAAGAACCTCAAGCTCCAGACACATCTCTTCGATTCCACTGTTCTTCCTGCATTAACATATGCCTCAGAGACCTGGACCCTATGCAAACAGGATGAGAACGCTATTCGGGTCTCCCAAAGAGGAATTGAAAGAGCTATGCTTGGAATATCACGTTTCACTCAAATGAGAGAAAGAATCCGGAGTTCCAACATCTGTCAACAATCAAGAATCAGGGACGCTGTCTCATTTGCCAAGGTGTCAAAAATCAGATGGGCTGGTCACGTAATGAGATTTAAAGATTACCGCTGGACTAGAGCTGTTACCGACTGGATTCCACGGGATGTCAAAAGACCGCGTGGCCGCCCACCTACCAGATGGTCAGACTTCTTCATCAAGACCCTGAACAGTTTTGAGGCTTTTGTTTTGAGGCTCTTCGTGTTCCTGGAGTGAGCAGACGCCATTGGGTTACACTAGCACGCAACAGGAACGAATGGAGACATTACTGGCACCCGCTTGAGCAAATCAATGAGTAAGGAGATGTCAAGTTATCAAATTGATTGACTTGCAAATGTTAACCCATCCTTGCATCCCTGGGAGGAATCCTACTTGATCATGGTATATGATCTTTTTGATTAGTTGTTAGATTTGGGGTTTTGGATTTTAGGGTTTTGTTGAGAATCTTTGTATCTGTGTTCATCAGGGATGGATAGCACTTAAAGCACTGTCCTCCCATTGTTCATCGATTTGCTCGAGCGGGCCCAGTAACGTCTCCATTGTGAGACTTGTTGTTACTGTGTTTGGCATATCGAATACGTCACGGGTAGCTTGCCAGGCTTTGCCACGTGGGCAAGATACTCTCGGTAGCTTGCCGGGCTCTCCCAGAGGGGCAGAGGAATCGAACTCAGGTCGACCAAGTTGGCTGCATGCAAGGCAAATGCCTTACCTGCTGGATAGGACAGGGATGGATATTGGCATGTAATTTTCTTTCTTTGTGGTATCTCTCTCTGCTTTTGATTTCAGGATAATATTTGCTTCATAGAAACTGAAAGTGTTTCTGATTTTTCAATTCCCTGGAAAAGCTTGAAAAGGACTGGGAGTAAGGCCTCTTTAAAGATTTGGAAGAGTTCACTAGTGAATCCATCTGGGCCTGGACTTTTGTTTTGGGGGAGACTTTTTATTACCATTTCAATTTCCCTGATGGTGATAGGTCTGGTACTCCATGTCTTCTTGGTTCAGCCTCAGGAGGCTATAGGAATACAGGACTTCATCTATTTTCTCAAAGTTTTCATGTTTTATGGCATAAAGATTCTCAAAGTAATCTCTGATGATCCTTTGAATTTCTGTAGTTTCTGTTGTGATCAGAAACCAAACAAAAGTTTCTAATTCGGTTTATTAAGGTTTTCCCTCTCCCTTTCTTTGTGAGTCTTGCAAGAGGTTTTTTGATCTTGTTTATTTTCTCAAAGAACCAGCTCTTGGTTTCATTGATCTTTCAGATTTTTTGGGGGGGCTTCCATGTTGTTAATTTCATCTCTAAGTTTGATTATTTCCTTCCTCCTGCAGGTTGGGCTCCTTTTGTTGGTCATTCTCCAAGCTCTTCAGCTGTGAGATTAGGTTATTTACATGGGCTCATTCATCCTTTCTGAAGAATGCTTGGTAGAACTATAAATTTTACTCTTAACACACCTTTTGCTGTGTCCCATAAGTTCTGGTAACTTCTGTCTTCTTTCTCGTTTGTTTCCAGGAATCTTTTGATTTCCTCTTTGATTTCCTTTCTAAGCCACTGGTTGTTCAGTAATGAGTTGTTTAATTTCCAGGTGTTTGATTTGATTTTCTGTTTGTGTGTGTGATTTACTTCTATTTTCATCACATCATGGGCTAAGATTGTTGACTTGATCTCTGTCTTCTTAATTTTATGGAGATAGGTTTTGTGGCCCAGCATGTGGTCTGTCTTGGAGAATGTCCCATGCACATTTGAGAAGAATGTGTATTCAGCTTTTTGAGGAGGAAGTGTCCTGTTTATATCTACTAAGCCCCTTACTTTCATTTCTTCCCTCAGATAGAGTATGTCCTTGCTATCTATCAAGAGGTGATAAAGTGGTGTTGAAATCTCCCACCAGTATTGTATTGCTGTTGATGTCTTCCTTCAAGACTGTGAGTAGTTGTTTTAAGTATTTTGCTGGTCTCTCATTAGGTACATATACGTTTAGGAGTGTGAGTTCTTCCTGATGTGCAAGATCCCTTGATCAATAAGAAATGACCTTCACTGTCTCTTGTGACCTTCTTCAATCTAAAATCAATGTGGTCTGATACCAGAATGGCTGCCCCAGCTTTTCTAAGGCAGTTGTTTGCCTGTAGAATTGTTTTCCAGCCTTTGACTTTGAATCTGTGTTTGCTCTGACTATTGAGATAAGTTTCTTGCACGCAGTAAAATGTTGGGTTCAGTTTTCTGATCCATCCTGCCACTCTGTGTCCTTTAATTGGTGCCTTTAGCCCACTGACACTGAGAGAAGCTGTTATGGGGTTTTGTCCCATCTTTCTGCTTGGTGTATTTGAGCGGCTTGTCTTGTCTTAAAGTAGTCCATTTAGTTGTTCTTGTAGCCATGGTTTTGAGATATGAAGTTCCTGAGTTGTTGTCTGTGAAACTGTGTGTTGTTTCTTCTTCCTCTATGAATGAGAGTCTAGCTAGGTAAAGTATTTTTAGTGAGGTGTTTATTTCATTGAATTTTTTCACTATATCCCACCACTGTCTTCAGGCTCTGAGGCTTTCATCAGATAAGTTGCTGTAAATCTTAAGGATGCTCCTTTATAAGCAATTTTTTCTTTGATCTTGCTGTTTTCAGAATTTTGTCTCTGTCTGGTTTTCATCATTCTGGTCAGGATGTGTCTTGGAATATTTTTGGTAGCAACAGAAGTTTAGAAGTAAGTCAGTAAGGCAGAAGAAAAAGCTGCTTTTAATATGTATGGGATGTGAAACTTTTAGAATGTTCAATTTTTCCTAAACTAATATGAAATCCTGGCAAGCTACCGTGAGTATTCGATATGCCAAACACAGTAATAAGAAGTCTCACAATGGAGACGTTACTGGGCCCGCTTGAGCAAATCAGTGAACGACGGGAGGACAGACAGACAGTATGAAATACGGAGATTGAGATATAACGATTGATTTTTATTATCGGAGATTAATCAGTATAAATTGTTCATTTTTAAGACTCTCCAGTAACTATTATTCTCTTTGGTTTTGGGGCCACACCAGGCCCAGTGAACAGACCATAAAGTGCCAGGAATCATTGTCACATACAATGCATGTAGTCAACCCATTGAATCATCTCTTTAGTTCTCCATTTTTTAATTATTTTGAGAAAGCCACACAAAAATGCACACAAAAAATTGTCACACAATTTTGCTGAGATCATCTCCAGCTGGGCGTTTGTTGGGGGTGGAAACCATACCCTGTCCAGTAGCATAATCAACATATCAAAAGCCCATCTTCTGCTCGAGGACAAATATCACTTGGGATGTTTCTGCTCTCCTTAGTCCAATAACTTAATTAACATCTCAATTCTATTAACATTAGTTATTTTGTATGGACACAGTAAGAGATACATTGAGCTTGTAGGGTGGCTCTCCTAGGGGCATCTCGCCAAAGACTCAGACTACAGTGCTCAGGCCAGATTAATCATTCCTAACCCTAGCAGGGTCTGAATCTAGTTACTACTTTTGGATCATGAGAGAATTTGTCCATGACCATGCTTTTAACTTATAGTTAAGTAATACGGCACTTTGACCTGGCCCATTTCAATGCCAGGATAGCTCACAGCTTGCCCTGAGTTCATCCAGTCCCTTGTTGGGACCCTGCTTTTGGGGTGCTAGGAAGTAAGGGCAATTGACGCTTAAGTCTAGAGAACAGATGCCCATGAATGAATATCATTCAGAGTCAATTAATTCCCAAGTTATAAAAGCATAGCATTGTCTTCCTGTGTCCATACAAAAAGGACATTGCTCTGAATTAACTATGCAGAGGACTTAAGGAGAAAAAAAAGCAATATTTACAAGTTAACAGAGCACAAAGAAAGAGGTTACAAATAAACACAGGAATGAGAGCACTGTGATGGGAGTAACTCAATAAGCCTAAGCTCCCTGTGGCAAGGCAGAAAGGACAAACCAATGTTATCCTAATGATTAATAAAAATAGCATCAAAATTGTATGCACTACCGTGTGTGTGTGTGTGTGTGCGCGCGCGCGCGCGCATGTGTGTGCATGAAAACCCAGGTCAGCACTTGCCCCACCACTGACCTTTGGCTTCAGTGCTTATGCTGTTTTTACATTTTAAATGTAATTAGCATAATTGTTTGTTTCCTAATTGAAAATTTAAGAATTTGGGGCTGGAATGCGCAGCAGCGAAGAGATAGCACAGCAGGCAGAGCGTTTGCCTTGCAGGCGTCCTACCCAGGTTTGATTCCGGCATCCCATATGGTCCCCTGAGCACCGCCAGGAGTAATTTCTGTGAATTGCCAGGTGTGACCCCCCCCCAAAAAAAAAAGTTTAAGAATTTAATGCTTTGGGATCACACTTGCTTAGCAAGACATAAGAATCTTAAAATATATGACTAAAGTATTCTCATACTGTTTCCCTTTCCTCATCTAATATAAATACTTCAGTATTTTATATTTGTTTTGTTTCTCATGTTCAAGATTCCAGACAAAAAGTTAATTTTCTGAATATTTATTTACAGCTTGGTCAAAGAAAAAGTGATGTATGAAAAAGAAGCCAAACAACAAGAAGAAAAGATAGAAAAGATGAAAGCAGAAGATGGTGAAAATTATGCCATTAAGAAACAGGTAAAATTATGGCATCAGTAATAACAGCAGACATTTATAGAATACTTTCAGTTGACATATTAACAGACTTTTGAGGTGATTCTGTTTCACTTATTTACTGTTAAACCTCTAGGAGCCAAAAAGGCACATGAGAAAATGCTCCACATCATTAATCATCAGGGAGATGCAGATCAAAACCACAATGAGATATCATTTCACACCACAGAGACTGGCCCATATCCACAAGAACAAAAGCAACTGGTGCTGGCGCGGATGTGGCAAGAAAGGGACACTCCTTCACTGTTGGTGGGAATGCCAACTGGTTCAGCCCTTTTGGAAAACAGTATGGACGATTCTCAAAAAATTAGAAATTGAGCTCCCATTTGATACCACTCCTGGGAATATATCCCAGAGAGGCAAAAAAGTATAGTCGAAGTGACATCTGCACTTGTCTGTTCATTGCAGCACTCTTTACAATAGCCAGAATCTGGAAAAAACCTGAGTGCCTGAGAACAGATGACTGGTCAAAGAAACTTTGGTACATTTACACAATGGAGTACTATGTAGCTGTTAGAAAAGACCAAGTCACGAAATTTACATACAAGTGGTACTGCATGGAAAGTATCATGTTAAGCGAAATGACTCAGAAAGAAAGGGATAAACATAGAAAGATTGCATTCATCTGGGGAACATAAAGTAACAAAATAGGAGACTAACACCCAAGAATGGCCGAGATTAGTACCAGGAATTTTACTCCATGGCTTGGAGGCCGACCACACATGCTAGGGGAAAGAAAAGGGAGCTCAGATAGAGAAGGGAGCACCAAATAAAGGTGTTGGGAGGATCCTCCCAGGATGGGAGAAGCATGCGGAAAGTAGACTACATACTAAACATGATTGTCACCCATTGCCTCTTTTGCAAACCACAACACCCAATAAGAGAAAGAGAACAAAAGGGAATGCCCTGCCACAGAGGCAGGGTAGGATGGGGGGGATGGGGGGAGGGAGGGATACTGGGATCCGTGGTGGTGGGAAATGGACACTGGTGGAGGGATGGGTATTCGATCATTGTATAATTGAAACCCAAGCACAAAAATGTGTAAGTCTGCCACTGTACCGCATGATGTCTCACTATTAAAAATTAAAAAAATTCTCATCAAAATTTATAATAATTAGGTGCCTCTTATTTTCAATTCTTATCACAGCATTTGGGCCCTTTAGTATTATTTTTTTTAATTATGCATAATAATTTGTGTTGGCACTCATGTTCTACAGCTAGCAGTTTATATCAATTTGACCTTTCAAGTTTTTATTCATTCACATTAGATGCTAAGTACTGATAATGCTTTGCGACAGATACCTAGGCATTGTCACATCTGTTTTTACTCTCGGCAATGAAAACTACACCATTTATGATTAAACTGTACCCATATTTTCTTTTAAAAAAAACCCTCCAGGAGCGAGAGTTATAGCTCAGTGTTAAAGCACATTCTCTACATGTATGAGGCCCCATATCTGATTCCCAACACTCAACAACAAACTTCCACTTTAAGAGAAGGAGGCACAAGCAAAATAACTTTCTCAAGCCCACACAGTTGCCAGGCTTTTTAAGTGGAATTTGAACACAGATGTTCTAGCTCTAGAATGTGACCACTGAGCTCCCTTTCCCCTCCACCCCCCACCCCCCACCCCTCCACACAAACACACCTCTTGACTGGATCTCTTACACTTAGGCTTTATTTTAGAGGAAGGGTGGCCACACTGTTTAGTGGTCAGAATTTACTCCTGGCTCTGTGCTCAGGGATCGCTCCTGAAGGGGATCGGGGGACCAAATGTGCTTGGGAAGGAACTCTTGTCAGCTGTGTGCAAGCACTCTTACCTACTGTTCTATTGCTCTGGCCCAACCACCACAAAATCCTTCAACAGCCTGCCTGCATCTGTCCCTTTCTTTTTGTCTGAGAGGGCTATATGCTCTGGACCTTGTCGCATACAGAGTAACATTGACATTGTTTTCACTTTGTCCTTGTCTTCACAGTAACTGCTCGCTTCTTTATATTGGCAGTTTTGATAGAACAGCCTCTGCTAAGTTCTCCTTATTTCACTGCCATTATTCCTTAGTATCCTTTGCTGAAACTAGATAAATAGCTTCTTCTCTCATCTCCTCCCTCCCTGTCACCCTGTATGTATATAGAGAGGCATTTAAAGTTCTTCAGGCCTCTGTCTACAATCCTTCTCCAGATAGTCTCATATGATTCTATAATTTTGAGTAGTGTTTTAATGGTCATCCATTTTTTAACTCAACAGAAATTTATTGGATGCTTTTTGCTTGCCAAATACTGTTCCAGGTGATATAATTTAAGAGTGGAGGGAACTTGGGTCACACCCAGTGTTGTGGTGAGCATTCAGGAGCCACTCTTAGTGGTGCTGGGGGACCGTTTGTGTTTCTGGGGATCAAATTGGGGTCAGCTGGGTGCAAGGCAAGCACCTTAATGCCTGTACCATCTGGCTAGTCTAAGGCACACTTAAAGTACAGCATTAAAGGTGACAACAAAAATCATAGGTTTATGCTGTAGCTACATAATAAGCCTTAATATTGGGAAGAGTAAGTCCTTTCACTTTTCTTTTTTAAAATTATTTTAGCTATTTTAGTTCCTTTGTCTTTTCATAGATTTAAAATTAGCTTGTCTTTATCTATGAAACACCTTGCTGAGAGTCTGATTAAACCCATAGATCAGTTGGGGAGAATTACCATCTTTACTTTGTTGAGTCTTCTAATCAATGAGCTACACCAGTCCGTTCAGTTTATTTAGTTCCTCTTTATCAGTCATTTGTAATTTTCAACATATAGATCCTGCACATGCTATTAGCATTACCTCTTGTATTTCATTTTCTTTGACCCCATTGTAAATGGTAGTGTTTCTAATTTCCATTCTCACACACAGTATTTGTTTATAGAGAAATACTCTCAATTTTTGTGTAACCAAGGACTTGAGAACTCAGATTTTTGGTTTTGTGGGTTTTTTTTTCCATGCTAGTTCTTTTCCTATTGTCATACCATTTGCAAATAGGAATACTTGTATTTCTTTAGTTTTTATTATTTTAATACTTTTTCTTGCCTAATTACCCTAACTTCAGACTTACATTATTTGTTGAATATTAGGTAAAGACAGTGAAAATTCTTGACTTGCTTTCATAGGGGACCCATTTAATTTTTCACCATTTAGTGTAGTATTAGCTGTAAGGTATTTTGTAAAGGGTCTTTTTCAAGTTAGGGAGATCTCACTTTCTCTCTATTCCTAGTAGTTGAATGCTTTTGTCATGAGTGGTTATGTGTAAGATTTGTTTAAAGTCAGGCATTTTCAGTTTTAGACTCTATAATACTATGGCTTATATAGGTTGTTTTTCAAATACTAAGCAAGCCATTTATAACTGGTTTATTACTGTTTGAGCACTTCAATTTGATGTCTAATGCTTTTGAAACATAGTGAATTTGACTTGCTAATTATTTAGGTGTTTGACCCATAGTTAGTTTATGCATCTGTGTCTTTTTTCTAGTGAGGGAGGCTCAACTGGTAGTGCTGAGGCCTGGCTTCCTGACTCTGTGCTCAGGGATCACTCCTGATGGGTTCATGGGACCATATGGGATTCCAGGCATCAAACCCAAGTTGGCCACATGCAAGGAAAATGCTCTACCCACAGTACTGTCATGCCAGCCCTTTCATCTAAGTCTTTTTAAAATAGTCTTTGTCTTTAGTGTGGGTATTACATTAATACTTGGCATCAATAAAAAATGAAAAGTAAATTGGGGAGGGACTTGTAAAATTGTTAATTCTTGAAATATTTAATATTAATTGCCTGTGGAACCATCTAGACTTGGAGGGTTTTTATTCAGGAACTTTTAAATTACAGATTTGAATTTATTTAGTGATGACAGAAAACTCAGTTGAGTTTTGGTAGTTTGTAACTTAGAGGATAATTTAATTTGTGAGCATCGTGAACAAATTAAGCATTGTTCAGGGTATTTTCTTGTTCTTTAAATGGTTTCAGATAGCCATAATTTGTATTTTTCTTACTTTATCAATCTTAACTAGTTTTATCAATTCCCGCATCCTCTGAAAAGACTTTGATTTTATTGATTTGTCTCTATTGTTTTTCTGTTTTTATTAATTGATTTTTTTGTTCAATTTTTTTCCTTCCCCTGCTTATTTTGTACTTTTTTTATGCCCCTAAGTAAAAAGTTAGAGATTTTACTGTGGTTTCAAATAGATTTGATTATAAAGGAAATTGGTCGAGTTTTCTGTTCCGTTGTCGAATTCAAATTTGCTATTAGTAAATCTGAGCATTTCTAAGAATCCTCCAACTTCTGTTTTACAAAAATACTCTTCCCGCAAAAAAATCACAACTCCCTACCATACCCAGCACTATCGAATGTGGTCACTGGACCTAATCTCAGTTGAGTCTAGTGTAATGTCTTGCCCAGATAGCCAAGTATTGCTGGGAGTATACATGGGGTCCTCTGGGATCCCCTTGGGAGTCTCTCTCCCAGAATTTATGGCTGACTTTAAAAACCTGAAGACTCCAGGGGATTGCAACCTTTTCTGTTCGCTGGACATTATCTTCCAATCTGGGTCACAAGTCACCTGTGGGGGGGTTCTGGAAGGAGAGGGCATTTGACAGTTCTCAAAGCTTACTCCTTGATCTGCATTTAGGAATTATTCCTGATGGTACTGTGGGTACCATATGGGGTGCCAGAGATTAAAACTGAGTCAGCCACATGCAAGACAAGCACCCTACCCATTGTACTATCACACTGGCCCCCTGGATCATGATTCTTACTTAATTTCAGTCTTGCAGTTAACATTAAGTAAATTGGTTATTCAGGTATTTTCAACAGAGGCACCATTTATTTGAGTGATTCCCAAAGGGCATACAGTGCAAAACCATACTCAGTATAATTCAGGTATTACAGTATATGTGTGCCCTATATTCTCACTTTATATGCTGTCTTTTAAAACAGTTCCTGACCGTTATAATTCATTGTTACAAAGCATTATGTATGATTTATAGTCTTGATAGAAGTGTAGTTCATGGATTCCAAATCATGGCATTACTATATGCCTTTGATTCCCTGTGATCTGGTCTTTTTGGAGCAATAGTGAATGCTGAATTGGAGGACAGAGTTCTTTTTTCTGTTTTTGTGTCCCCTGTACCTAGTATCTTACAGATCCCTTAGTAGGCATTTTGAATAAATTAGAGGTGATGTATCGTAGAAACTGAACTGTGGACCTGCTAATATCAGGATTTATTTTGGCAGAGTAATTGGGAATTCTTATTCTGCAACGATAGAATAATAATTAGTTGTCTCGTGGAGAGCATTATTTCAGTGAAGGACAAAATTGGTAAAAAAAAAATTAATACGTATATAAATAGACAAAGTTTTGACTTTTTAACCTAATGTCTTATATTTATCTCATCTTTTGTGTTTATTTTTGGTCCACACTCAGCAATACTCAAGGGTTACCCCTGGATCAGCCAGAGAAGTAGCACAAGGGTTGTGATTGCTTTACTAAACCCTGCTCCATCCCCAACACTGCCATTGTTTCCTCTGCATCACCTGAAGTGGCCCAGCTCATGTGTTCCCTGTGCCAACCACCCCCCATGCCAAAAAAAAAAAAAAGGAGAGTGAGAATTAAAGTTTACAAGTTCTTACCTAGGGAATATAAATAGAATCCTTTTGTATTTTTATTTTTATTTACTGTATGGACCATTAGGAAAAGGAAGAAGTGACTTCTTCAAGTGGTTGAAGTTTACAATGATTTTCATTAAACTATGTTTTAAATTTCTTAATGAAAGTTCAGTTATTGTACCCATTTGGTTAAAACTATTTGATTATTTTAAGAAATATTTCCAAAGATTACTCTTCCTGAGAACAGTTTCCTGTTATCATAATTTGGCTTCCAGCGTCTTGACATGAACTCATTTGAGCTCTCAGTTGTTGATTTTCTTTTGTCCTTTATGATTTAGTATTTTATAGTCCAGCTTGGAATGAAGGGTTTTAAGTCCAAAAGTATCTTCCAGAATAAATATTCCTGCATTTAATTCTCTAGAATCTATCTCCAGGAAAAACAGGCAGAAGTTCAGGTTCAGAGGGGTGCCAGGTTGGTAATTTGGCTCAAACTGCATGGGGAGAATAATCTCTCGCCTAAAATGAAGCACAAGGATAAGTAATAACTTTTTATGCATGATAAGCATCAAAAATAGAACCTGCTGGTCGTTGCTTTTCATTTTTCTTTACCTCTGTCTTTCAGTAAGAACCTCCTGCCGTGTGCACACAATGTGATCAATAACTCAATAACTTTTTCCATGCAGTAATTATTTCCTTGTGATATTATCTGAACATTGTTTTTCTTTATTACCCCAAAGATGCAGGAGATTTTTATATAACCAGCTGATCCCATTTTGGTTAAAGATTCTTTGTGACAGCAGGTGAAATAGTTTATTTTAAATAGCTTTGTTAAAAGAAATAGTCTATGAGAAGCTTTTCCAGTGTATTTTCACTTAGTATGAGGTGATTACCAAAATGGGTTTAGATTAATACTTCATACTTTATATGTTTTACATACAGTAAGTTAGTCATTCTTTCTAACCTTATCAAAAGTTAGAAATGAACCATTCAACATCTTCAAAGTCATTCTAAATATTTTCTGAGGTGTGAGCTAACATGTTCTTGTTCCAGTCTGAGGTCCTGCAAGAGTCCCTCATGATGATTCCAGACTGCCAGCGCAGGTTGGAAGCTGCACATACTGACCTTCTGCAGATACTAGTAAGTAAAGATTTCTCTTGCTAGGCTTCATTTCTTTCTCAGTCTAAGAGGTGGAAGGCCAAGATTTTAAATACAGTAATCAGTTATTGACATGCTTTATTTACTCTGGGTACCAGTACATTTTTATTTTTTTTATGTAGGAGTACTGCTATTTATTCAGCCACTGATTAGCTGATTGAATTGTGCATGAACTCCACCTTACTTTTTTTTTTCATTTTTTATAATTTTATTTATTGAATCACCGTGAGAGCAGTTACAAAGCTTTCAGGTTTAAGTCTCGGTTATACAGTGAAACACCTGTACCTTCACCAGTGCCCATTCCCCACCACCAAAAACCCCAGTGTACCCCCATCCCACACCCTCCCCCTACCTGTGGGGCAGATGATTTCCACATTACTCTCTCTCTACTTTGATCACATTCAATATTTTGACACCAGACCCACCATTATTATTTGAGATTTTTACCCCCAACACTCAGATCTGCTGAAAAGGCAACAGTAGACAATTTGTGTTCTATTGCTGGTTATGAATAACATGTGATGTCGCGTGGCTGCAGTAAGGCCATGTGATTTTGAAATTCTGAAATTTTAACACTTAAATCTGGAGGGATTTCTGCCAAAAGCCACTGGGTTTCGAGATTTGCTCCTGAGGATGACGGCCACCCAGCCGCCGGGGGAAGTAGGCGGAAGGACAGCACCCTTTCGCCCCTGGGGTGGCCCAGCAACAGTAACCTACTGCGGGGTCCGGATGCATTTCTGCCAAAAGCCGCTGGGTTTCAAGATTTGTTTCTGAGTCTCTGGGATCATGGCCGTTAAGCAGCTTGATCAGGAGCCAGAGAGGCCGTTCGTGGGCGATAACTTGGAGTCTCGTTGGGGTGGGGAGGACAGGCCCGGCTCCACCCCCATCCCATGAGGCCCAAGATGTCTCGTCACTGCGGACCAAGACCTGACTGTCCAATGGCCTCTAGAGGATGATGGCCACTAAGCCGCCAAGGAGGAGCAGGCGGAGGGAGAACACCCTTTCCCCCTGAGGTGGCCCAGCAACAGTAAACTGCTATGGGGTCCAGACGCATTTCTGCCAAAAGCCACTGGATTTCAAGATTTGTTTCTGAGTCTCTGGGATCAGGGCCATTAAGCAGCTTGATCAGGAGCCAGAGAGGCCGTTTGTGAGCGATGACTTGTGGTCTCGTTGGAGTGAGGAGGACAGGCCCGGCTCCCCCCCCCCATCCTTTGAGGCCCAACAAGTTTCATCACTGCAGGCCCAAGCCTGACTGTCCAATGGCCTCTGGAGGATGACGGCCACCGAGCCTCTGCCCAGGGGGAGCAGGCGGAGTGACAACACCCTACCCTCCCTGGGGTGGCCCGGCAATAGTAGCATACATTGGGGTCTGGACGCATTTCTGCCAAAAGCCACTGGGTTTTGAGATTTGTTTCTGAGTCTCTGGGATCATGGCCATTAAGCAGCTTGATCAGGAGCCAGAGAGGCCGTTCATGGGTGATGACTTGGGGTCTCGTTGGGGTGAGGAGGACAGGCCCGGCTTCCTCCCCCCCCATCCTGTGAGGCCCTTCGTGTCTCATCACTGCCGGCCCAAACCTGACTGTTTAGTGGCTTCTGAAGGATGGCGGCCACTGGGCCGCCAGGGGGAACAGGCCAAGGCACAAAACCTATTCCCACCTGGGTTGGCCCAGCACCAGTAACCTACTGCAGGGACTAGACGCATTTCTGCCAAAAGCCGCTGGGTTTCGAGATTTGTTTCTGAGTCTCTGGGATCATGGCCATTAAGCAGTTCAATCAGGAACCAGAGAGGCCATGCCTCCAATTATATAGTTGAGCTGGAGGTGGTTTGTGGGTGTGTCTCCCACATACCTAACTTTTGGCCTTTTACTTTCTTGGTAAACTTTGCCCCAAGTTTTTGGGGTCTGGCCAAAGGCACAGCAGCAATTTGGGGGTATCTGGAAGTCTGAAGGCGCCATCAGGCTGCTGATGCACTCACCTCACAGGTACAGATTGACCTGCTGGCAGCACCATACCCCCGTAGTACATTTTTGAAAGTTTAATTGTGTTTTAACTTATTCCTCCAGTAGAAGTGCTGTGTCTAGCATGTTTAATAAAATAAAACAAATAAAATATTCAGTTTATTAAACTGAATTAAATATCTTTAAGTTATCTTATTATAAGATATAATATTATCTAGCAACTCTCATTAACTTGATTCTGTGATCACTCATGATCAATCGTACTATTATACTTACCAGTATAAATGTTTTGTGGAATAGATAGTGTCAGAATCATTTTAAAGTAGACCCTAAGAATACTTAAAAGTCATTTTGTGGGCTGAATGATAGTACAGCAGATAGGGCACTTCCCTATATGCTACTGACCCGGGTTCGATCCCATGGTTCCCCAAGCCTGCCAGGAGTGATCCCTGAGAGCAGAGCAAGGAGTAAACCCTGGGTGTGGGCCCTCTAGCTCCAGACATTTTGTCAGTGAGTAGACTTTGTAAATATACTCTTTACAAGACCATTGTATTACTATTTGATATTTTGATAATTGTTCCCTATTTGAGGATTTTTAAGGATGATCTTTTTATTTTTTTTTAAATTTTTGAGTCACACCCGGTGATGCACAGGGGTTACTCCTGGCTCTGCACTCAGGAATTACCCCTGGCGGTGCTCAGGGAACCATATGGGATGCTGGGAATCAAACCTGGGTTGGCCACGTGCAAGGCAAACACTCTACCCGCTGTGCTATTGCTCCAGCCCCCAAGATCATATATATATTTAAAAGAAAACTTTTTCCAAAATAATATTAGGACAAAATCTATAAAAAATCTACTAAACTTTTTTTATATTTACCATCATAATTCCATGTTTATATATAGAAACCTTTCCACAACACCATGACTCTCGACAGCCAAAATTGAAACAGTAATTTTTAAAATACTAGATAAAAGAAGAAATATACTTTTACAAATGCAACCTATAACAGAAACATAGGATTTCCTGATAGTCAAAATAAATCTAATTGGCTATAAAAGTAATAAAAATCACTTGGAAAAAGTTACTTTTGGGTGATTATTTGCATATAAGACATATTCAACTTATCTCTACCTTCAGAGCTTATAATATACTTACCAAAATATGTTGGAATGTAAAGGGTTCTTTAAAATCAGTGAATGTTATAAAAAGCGGCATCTTGAACTCCCAAGAAACCTCAACGAACTCGGTTACCATGTACCCGGCTTTCTCGCATGATTGTTCTTCATCTAGTGTTTTGCGAATCCTATTCAGGATGACTCGAGTGAACAGCTTGTCGACGACGGACAACAGGCAGATCAGGCAATAATTGCCAGTGCCATGAATGTCTCCCTTCTTGTACAGTAGAATGGTCCTGCTGGTTTTCCATTCGGACGGAACCTTGCATTCAGACAGGTAGCATGTGAATAGCCGAGCCAGTATATTAATGAGTACTGATGGCAAATTCTTCAGGTGTTCGAGTCTGACCTTGTCTGGGCCGGGTGCTATTTGCTTCTTTACTGACGAAATGGTGTATCAGGTTTCAGAAGGGAGAACATTGGGAACGACATATCCATCATGCGGAATTTGTTATGTAGGCGGGTGGACATGGCTATGAAAGAGATAGAGTAGAAGTCATGGATAATCTTCTCCATTGCCCTTCTGGAAGATATGATAGATCCATCAGGACATCAGAGGGCAGTCGTCTTGGTCTTGTAGTTGGGGAAGGACAGGCGGGCATTGCAAATGCTTTTCCCGGCTTCTGCCACATCTGCCAGCACTGCTGCTCTTCTCTTTTTGAGGTCTTCCTTTATCACTTCTCTGCACTGCTTTGCGAGCTCAGATGTTAGCTTGTAGTTGCCTGAGGCTCACGCACGCCCAGCCACATTGGCAAATGAGCTTGAAGACAGGTGTCTTTGGCTTTCTCCCTCAACATTCCTCGCACAATCATTGAGGTGCTGAACCAGTCGATCATATTCTTGTTTGACTCTGTTTGTTGATTCTTTGATTCTGTTGAGATTGAAGTGGTCATCAAAGCCCTAGCCAAATAGGGCGTTCACACTCAATACATCAGGATGCTCCATGAGCTCTATTACGGATTCACCGCCAAGATCTCACTATTCTACAAGGATGTGAGTATCAACATAAAGAGAGGGATTCGCCAGGGTGATACCATTTCACCAAAACTCTTCAGTGCCACCCTTGAAAATATCATGCGACAACTGGAATGGGAACGTATGGGAGTGAAGATAGACGGTTGGCAACTCCACCACCTCCGCTTCGCTGATGACATTGTTCTAATAACACCAAACATTAGCCAAGCAGCTGGCTGACGTCGACCGTGAGTGTGGAAAGGTCAGACTGCAGCTGAATCTCATGAAGACAATGTTTATGAGAAACAAACTTGTTCCTGATGTTCCATTCGCTTTCAAGGGAACAAACATCTCCAAATGGAGCAGTTATGTGTACCTAGGTTGAGAAGTCAACATGATGAATGACTTGGCACCTGAGTTGCACAAGAGGAAGAGCACAGCTTGAACACATTCAAGAGCGTCAAATAGGTAAGAGGATGAAGAACCTCTGGCTCCGGGCACATCTCTTCGACTCCACCATTCTCCCTGCTTTAACATATGCCTCAGAAACCTGGGCCCTATGAAGACAGGATGAGAACACTATTTGGGTCTCCCAAAGAGGAATCGAAAGAGCTATGCTTGGAGTATCACGCTTCACTCAAGTGAGAGAAAAAATCCAGAGTTCCGACCTCCGTCACTGTTTGAGAATCAGGGACGCTGTCTCGTTTGCCAAGGCGTCAAAAATCAGATGGGCTGAACATGTAATGCGATTTGGAGAAGACCACTGGACTAGAGTCGTTACCGACTGAATGCCACTGGACATCAAACGATCACGTGGCCACCCACGTACAAGATGATCCGACTTCTTTGTCAATACCCTGAATGAACAGTTTGAGGCTCCTCATGTTCCTGGAGCGAGCAGATGCCATTGGGTTACACTAGCACACAACAGGGTCGAGTGCAGACATTACTGGCGCCCACTCAAGCAAATAGATGAGTTATAGAATGTCAAGTGATCAAGTAAAGGATTTGGGCTATTGCACCTTGATGCTACACTACCCACCCTAGCCCCAAATGTAAAGATTTAGGCATTTCTTTGTTTTGGGGGGGTTGGGTGCAAGTGTTGGGCCACATCCAGCTGTGCTAGGGTTCACTTCTGATAGGGCTTAGGAGCACATCGGGAGCCAGGGTTTGAATCTGAGTTGATCTCTGCTTGCATGGCAAGTTACCTTACCCACTATATTATCGTCCAGCCCCAGAGATTTAAGCATTTTTCATTAAGTGTGAGTTTAACAAGTCCTTTTGCTTAATCTCTCTCTGTTCTATTGTTACATGCCTCCATCTTTACTGAATTAACATGAGTTGCTGGCCATAGCTTTTTAACAACAAATCTCCTGTATGTAACTTACATGATAGTATTCAATTCGTTAGTTATTATTACGGTATTTATTAACAGCTTTCATGTAAGTATCCAGAAAATGAAAGATCCCCTTACATTAGCAAGTGGCTAATTTACCTTTCTAATTCAAAGATTGTACTTGAATTCTCTGACACTTACAGCAGTCTTTGTTATTGTGTGAGTAGTTGGACTATTTTGACTTAAATGTTGTCATATATTTCTATTGTTAATAAATTCTTTTTAGTTCAAATTAGTAATTTCTTTCTATGGTGATACTGTGTTTCTAATCGAAAATAAAATTTTTTTTGAGGATCCCAGAATCTGTGTTTTACTTTACTGTTTGAGAATGTGTGTGTGTGTGTACATATATATGTATATATATATAGAATCAAAATGAAACCTGTTGTTTCTTTCGTTACCTAAAAAAAGGAATGAGACTATGGGTAAACCAGGGAACTGAATTATAATTTGAAGATACTTGGAATTTTTTTGTTTTGTTTTAGCATTTTTGAACTGACTTCACATACTTAATTAAAAAAAAAACCCTAAACTTTGTGGGGCTGGAGTGAGAGCACAGCGGGTAGGGCATTTGCCTGGCACGTGGCCAACCCAGGTTTGATTCCCAGCATCCCATATGTTTCCCTGAGCACTGCCAGAAGTAATTCCCGAGTGCATGAGCCAGGAGTAACCCCTGTGCATCACTGGATAGGACCCAAAAAGCAAAAAAATAAAATTTAAAAAACAGCTATGTAAAGATAAAGTTTATTTTTATTGTGTTTCATTTCAGGAGAGTGAAAAAGACTTGGAAGAAGCCGAGGAATATAAAGAAGCACGATCAGTACTAGATTCAGTGAAATTAGAAGCATGAAGACTTTCTGTACAGGATGTTTTTGTGATTTTATCCTGGAATCCATTCCATAATTCGTTATTTTGACCACTGCTCTGTGTTCAAGTAGGATGAGAATCTAATTATCGATATTTCTGACAGAAGTAAAATCTATTTGAAATTTAGATACTTTGCCTCATAACTGGATTGAGTTAAAAACAGGATTTTTTTTTTAAGTAAAACCAAAACTTTGATTAGCTTCTGAATAAAGTGCAACTTCCTAAAGTTTTTTGTGTGTCGGTTTTCTTTTTTAATAGGGGCCACACCCACTGATGTGGATGTGCTGTGCAGGGAATCTGACTCAGAGCCCCATGCTTGCTTGGACATTTGGCCGATCACTTGAGCGATCCCTTCAGCTTGGCATTTAAACTTTAAGACTTAAAATTTTGGGAGAAAAAAGAAAAACCTTAAGTTGTGCTCCTACAAATATTTGTAATGGCTCTGACTTTGGAGGTCACCCAGTTATCACTGCAAACCATCATATACACACATTCAAACGGATCAAGGGAAGAGAAATAGTACTGTATTTTTCTAATGTTATTCTAAAGGTATCCTGTTGTGAAACATTGAATGCATAATTTATATAACAAAATATTTAAGAAAATTGCTTCATAGAATAGCCAATGCATTTCTAAATTAAAATGTCATATGAAAAAATGTTACTTTATAAGTATTCTTAGGTCAGAAATGAGTCAAAAAGAAAAATGAGTCACTATAAAATTTGGGGCTAGAGAGATGGGTCAGAGTACTGGAAGTGAGCTTAATTCCTGGATCATCTCTGGGAGCGATTCCTGAGCACACACTAGGAGCAGCCCGAGGCTCGTTTTTGTGACCCATGAAAATAATTTGAAATAAATGTTCAATAGTAGAGGTTTGCATGCAGGAGAATTGAAATAATCTTCAGAGGTTCTTAAATTCCAGAACAGATTGACATGGGACTGGGTGGTTGGCAGGTAGTTTTTTACAAATAGGACATCATTTAAAAAAAAAAAAAAACATTAGAATGCTTTCTAATATACAGTCTCTTGTTTTTACCACTATAGAGCTAAATATCATGTGTGGTCATAGCTAGTGGCTTCCCGATCAGTTGAGGGTTTGCAGCTCTTAAAAACATACCATTAAAAAATAAAAGAATTGGTCCCCCCCAGAAAAAAAGTAATTCTGAAGCTGGTCAACTCTGCAGCTAGAGCTATCCCAAATCTTGGTAACTGAAAAAGTTATCATTATTTTTATTCTAATAAATCAACAGCAAGGTAAATAGAAACAAGCCTTTGTTTTTTGTTTTCACTGGGGGGTGGGAATCCCAGTAGTGCTAGGCGGTGAGCACCAGGGCTACATTTGCAGTGTTTGAAATCAGACCCAGAACCTTGGTGCCTGCCAGGCTAGATCACATACTGGATCTCTCAAAAGTCTTGAGAAGCAGCAGTAAGCTTTTTAACATTTTCTGAAGATTTGTTTTTGAGAATTTTTGGTAATTCTGCTTTCCTGTCTTGAGGTACATTAGAATCATTTTTGATTAATTCAGTTTTTTGTTTGGCCTTGTTGGTGGGGTTGGGAGTGGGCACACTGGCGGTGCTCAGGGCTTCCTCCTGGCACTGCGCTCAGGGATCTGTCTGGCAGGCTCAGGAGACCATATGGGATGCAGGGGATCAAACCTAGGTCAGCTGCATGCAAGGTAAACATCCTACCCTCTGTAGTATTGCTCCAGCCCCTGGTTAATTCAGTTTTAACTTGTTCAGTTATTGTTTTTCCTTTGGGATTTGGAGCCACACTGGCAGTCCTCAAGGGCTTACTCCTGGCTCTTCACTCAGGGATCACTCCTGGCCATGCCATGCTGGGAATGAAACACAGGCCAGCCAACTTCATGGTAAGTGCCTTAAGCCCTGTACTATCTGTCGGAAAGTAATTTTTTAAAACATTTTGTGCTTGTATGACTGCACAGAAATTCTCCCAAGTAATGTTGCCTTTGCCTTCCCCTCCTTGAGCTTTTACCTGTGCCCCAACCACATTAGAGCAGATGCTCAAACATTTGCAGAGTGTGTGTGTGTGTGTGTGTGTGTGCGCGCGCGCGCGCGTGAGCCATTCTGCACTTAGCTGTGTGTGTGTGTGTGTGTGTGTGTGTGTGTGTGTGTGTGTGTGTGCGCGCGCGTGAGCCATTCTGCACTTAGCTATCACTCCTGGCAGTGCTCTTGGGACTATATGGAGTATGGAGGATTGATTAAACCCTGGACTCATGCTAGGTAAGTACCCGACCCACTGTGCTAACCACTCCAGCCCCCAGCAAAACCATATTTAATTCCTGGTGACAGAAACTATATGAATGAAGGGTTCACTCATACCACATAGGCACATGGTATATTTCAAACGATTTGGACCACAAACCTCCATAAAATATGTTAGGACCAACTGCATACATGATTGTTGTAGAGGAGCAAAACCTGCTCATGTAAAATATGCCTCTTGGCTAAAGGTTAGTTTCATGGGAGACTTCCTGAAAACAGGATGGAGGATACCTTCCACAAGGATGGTTATGTGTGAACTGACAGAAGGTCGAATCTTCCTTTTTCACAATATCCTCTTTACTAAAATTGATTTAGAGATAGTGTCTGGGGCCACATAAGCCAAGTTTAGCTTTGCTGTCTCAAGTAAACATGAAATGGACGTATTATCAGACTTTTTCCTTTTTGGTGCTGATCTGTATCTGGCAGTACTCAGGAGACCATGGCATCTCAGCCATTTCCTGATCTCTCAATAAGTTTCTTGACTCCCTGATTCCCTACCCTCCCCACCTTGTCAAGCCATATGATGATTGTTTAAAGGACAAATACAGTCATACTAAAGAGATACCCTTAGGTCTCAGAGCTGTTGTCACAGTGTAGGAGCACAAAGTTAAGTGTTTTACAGATCTCTGTGTCCTTAAGTGTAATATTGAGCAAGTTCAGTACCCTTTGTCTTTGCAGACAAATTCCTTGACTTTGCAGTGTAGGTGAGTATAACAGACAAGTAACAATATAGTGGTGCATCTGTCTCTGAGCATCTCAGCATGTTTTTTCCTAAGGCTATGCAAAGGGCAGAGATACCATGTGTGAGATGAATAAAGTAGTCAAATGCAGCTGGCTCTAATGCCATCAAAGACCATTTTCAGCTCCTCACATTTTGTTTATCTTTGGCTTCTGAGAATTCAATTTTATGAGTCCCTGGCAGGGACTCTGGGGCTGGACTTCTGGAACATTTCACATTCTGGACAAATTAACATCCACAAAACTCATGCTGCTTCTTCCTTTGCCTTATTTTGCATTGTTTTGTATGTCATGTAGTTCTTTGGGAGGGAATGGAATTTGTGGGCAGGATAGAGGAAATGCACATCACTAAAATAAGGACATATTTGTGAGTAGTGTAAAGTTAAAAGAATATATTGTAATGTTCATTTAACATTTCTGAACTTTCCAGTCAGGAACATTCAAAGCCTAATATTTAAACATTGTCTGATTCTACCTGTACATTGAATCACTTCCAAATTGAGCAGTCAAACCTGGTTAATCTAAATTACTTTGCAAACTTCATTACATTACTTGGCTTTTTAAAAATCCTATCAAATTTAATAAGGACATATCCTACAGCTGGTTATCACTTAAATCTTATTATTTAGTCATTTAGATATACCAAGAACAGATTAATTCTTTCTTTGATGGTGAGTTAGGGCCTTTAAATGTCACTGTAAACTTGATGTGTATGTGAGCAAAAGCTGGTGAAGCATTTGGCATTAAAGGGTTAATCAGATCATTTAGTCCTTGAGACTCTGAGTGCTTTAGCTGGAAAGAAATTGAATGGCTTAAAAATTGTGCACTATGAAACAAGTTATAAGTATTAGTGTACTTGAAATGCTCAAGAGTGCTTCATAAAAATCTGCATTGCACTCCACTACTCCTCTTACTGCTCTTATGAGAAGTATTAGTTCATGTACTGGACTAGCACACAGAAAGATATAATTGATTTATGGGACAGTAAATCTTCACTTTTGTGCTTACTGTTGCCTGCTGGGTAGTTGCTTTCAAAGTCGGGGAGAAAGATGTCACAAGAGGTTAACATTTTAAATTGCAAAGAGCCTTTTCAAGTTTAAAAAGCTGGCCTGTACAGTGGGAAGGATGGATACCTTGTACATGGTCTACCCTAGCACCCCAAAAGTCCCCCAAGCCAACCAGGAGTGATCCCTGGGCACAGAGCCAGGAGTAAGCCCTGAGTATAGTCCTGTGCAGTCCAAATGAACAACAAAAATGGCAAATGTAAAACTCCCCAGCTAAATGTAAAACTAAATGTAAAACTCTCCTCTCTAAAGAGAGACAGAGCTGGAGGGAATAGAGGGAAAGGCTCTTGCTTTGCACACAGCCCATGCTGGTTCCATCTCAGCACCTCCTATATTCCTGAGAACACTACCAGACTTACCAAAAAAAGAATGGAAATAACATTCACAAAAGAAATTCAAGTGCTGAGGCTGGAGCAATAGCACAGTGGGTAGGGCGTTTGCCTTGCACACGGCCAACCCAGATTCAATCCCCAGCATCCCATATGGTCACCCAAGCACCGCCAGGAGTGATTCCTGAGTGCAGAGCCAGGACTAACCCTTGAGCATTGCCAAGTGTCACCCAAAAAGCCCCCCCCCCAAAAAAAAGACAAGTGCTTAGTTATGTTTCACTTCTGTAGTATTCAAATTCAGAAATAACACGGTATTTTTAAGCATACCTCTTGGGCAGGTGTGATAAAGAGTGAGCCAATGAGATTAAGTAAAAGAATGAAGTGAAATCTTTGGGAATAAAGAAAACCACTTTAATTATATGCAGATATAAAATGTATGCTAGGAAAACAAGACACTGGTAAAGTAGAAGTCTCGAGGAAGTGAAAATGGCTTGTTAAAGCTGAATGCACAGAATTGTATACCTTCATGGATTGAATGTATGGATTGAATCATGTTCTAAAGAAATGATTGAAATCCTAACCCAAAATGTGGACCTGTTTGGAAGTAGGGTTTTTGCATATGCCATTAAATAAGATGCATTAATTAATCATACTAGATTTTTAAATTTTGTTTTGGGAACCATACACAGCAGTGCTCAGGGCTTACTGTACCTGGGTGTGCTCTGGGATGGACTCAGGAGGACCATATGGGATGCCGGGGATCAGACGCGGGTTGGTCCTGTGCAAGATAAGTGCCTTCCCCACTGTACTGT